CATGCTGCGAAGGGCATTCGGGAGATTTGACCCATCAATCTTCCCAATGATGCTCAATTCCTACGTGCGCCCGCACGTTGAGTACGCAATCCAAGCTTGGCAACCTTGGTTAAAACACGACCTAGAAGCGATAGAGGCACCACAACGGACAGCAACAAAGAACGTGATGGGCCTGCGGTATCACTCTTACCACCGAAGGCTGAAGTTGCTGGGAATTTTCAGCGGACGTTATCGAAGGCTGCGCGGCGATCTCATATTAGCGTATCAGATATTGAGTGACCCCAACCACGTATGCCGCCATTTGCTGAAACTTAGCCACAACATGCAGCTCAGGGGTAACTGCTTAAAGTTGAAGGAACAATATAGCCGTCTAGAGTGTCGACGGAATTACTTTTCCCTTCGAGTTTGCAAACCATGGAATGCACTCTCAGACTCAGTTGTATCCTCTCCTACCCTGGATGTTTTCAAAAAACGATTAGATGTTGCTCTCAGCTCCCAACATTTTGTTACCTAAGCTCCTCTGTTGTGGATTACGCCAAGCATGTTTTCAACAGGACTAATGTATCAAATGGACCTAAGTGAGCGACCATATTTTACTTTTCTCACTCCTTACCTCAACTATCACCGCGCCTCAGTGTCTTTCTGAATGTTTACGCGCGATATTTCTCTTTCATTTTACACTGATGTTAACTATCAAAGTATTCATCTCAGCAGACGTTCGATAGATGACCCACACATATTTTAATTGCATCATATTCACCGCTACCATCCTACGGGACGTGTCAAGCACTGGCTTTTATCTCGTGATAAATCATTGTTCATTGTTCATTGGAACATTAGTCCATTTTACTTTGCCGAATCAGAGACTAACTATCCCAAATCTGCCGAATCAGGAAGTACATATCGTGTGTCTATGCGTGTCTTGTATAGGAAACCCAAGTACAACGCCACTGTATCAATCAGTGTATCGTGTTTGCCTAGTTGGTTCAAAATAGATTGGGGGAATTGCTCAATTGTGCATGCGAACAAAACGAAACTGCCTCGGTTAGCAAAAGACGACGGTAACAAAACGGGGCCTATTTGAGGTACTGTTTCTCTGTCATTTGTGTAGCAGGAAATAGATTAGTTAGAAGAAATTACATGAATCACAGAAGTTTCTTTGCATCCAGTAAACTATTCCATTGTCGTATTAGAGCAAAAGAGTAGTGATCATGCTCTGGAGTATGCTGTGCACGCATTTTGTAATCAGGCTTGTAATCTATGCATTTGATTCTAGTTAAGTACCTAATGGAAATAAAAAAAGTTTTGCTAGTCTTTTTATTATTGCATATAGATTCAGATGAATGGTGGGATACAGCTATCTGTGGAATAAACTACCAATAACCATCAGGTCATGTGACAAGGTGGCAACTTTTAGAAGCAAACTCGCTACTTCCCTAGATCTAACTACCCTAAGCTCTATATTCACATGGGAAAAATCCCTCGATGAGCTATTCCAAGAGGAGCCCAAAAACATATAAACACCAATGTTTTCATAACTAGACTTTGGCCTCAACCATCTGCCAGAATGTTAATACATGAAACACATATCCTAATACTCCACCTATGCATGTCAACCATGCAAGAGCATGGATTCTTCTGGACAAATTGATCTGTGCCGCTATAGACACAGTTTCTCTCACCAAAGGAAATATACGTATTATTATTATAAATACTAAAGGGAAAGCCGGAGGGCACCTTATGCACATACGGAATAATCCACGGTCAGAGACACTCTAGAGTTTACTTGGTTTATCGTAATGGATGGGGGTATTCGGTTCCTAGCTGAACTAAGTATTTAGCTGCAAAAGTTACGTTGCCAAACTAGGCTACACCAATTGCGCATACACTTTTCGGAACTACCAGAAAGCGACGCACGCCAATCAAGTCGTGAAATACCACAGTAGTCACCCTCTAAACCACAAGCACAGTTGCGTCAAGATCCCTTTCAAACGCTCGCTAAAACTGCCGCACGCTGCTACTAAGGAAAACGGAAGAGGATCAGCTATCCAACATGTTTAAGCCGAATTCACACTCTTAAAGTTTACTTTTATGATGCCTGACGTCGAAGAATTCATGGAAACATCCGAACAAAACTGCAACAGAGAAGACGCTTACACTAGCTTACATCAACGGAATCGCCGATGTGGCAGTGACCCTTGTTTGTCCCTTGAGATAAAAATCAGGCCCGCATCGGTGGAAACAAGTTTGAATGGGCAAGTTGCGTAACGAAGAGATATCAAACGTGATTTACAAACGTTGCAGTAAACTTCAAGATGTGCTAAGCGGTCAGAACGCGGAAGAAACTTAGCGTGCGATTGTGCGGGCATAGCCCTCCCATCCGTCGACACGAACATCACTTAGAATACATGTGGATGCTGAGGAGTGTCAGCTTGATCCGGAGAGTGTCAAGGTACTTTAAAGAGCAATAAGCTGCAAAGATTTTGTTCATCAAAGCCTGGAACTTTAGTAAGAACTCAATTAATAAACACATGGACTTGGAAGGTGTCTAAGATGCACTGCTAACCAAACCGCCAATATGCCCCAGGTCAATTGAACGAAAGAAGTGATTACTTGGACAACTTTGCAATAAATCTGGATGGTTTATGATCAGCGATTCCGAACTTACTCCCATGCGGCGCATAGTTCCATCAACTGGATATGGATGGAAAGAACGTGGCCCAAAGAGATCCAACTCCTTGGTATGTAACGAACGAACGTAAAATGGACGACAGGTGACTTCGAATAATTGCGTAAGCAGTCAGGTCCAGGGCAACTCAATTTAAGTGACCGAAACGCAATATTTGCCACCGAAACAACATTTATTTAGGACAAAAATCATTATCAGGTTTCATGCATATTGACTCATTCACCTTCGCAAAACAATTTGCTGTTTCAACGCGAAGCCAACCGATGATGCCGAATAGTTATCACAACCACATCAATTCCTTGGAACACATGCGTCTACTCACTTACTTAGTCAAGACTAACCTTTGATCAATTAGTAACCGTTGCAGATTTGCTCGTACATTACTGACCACGACTTATTTGGTGTGCCTAGTATCACATCGAGAATACACATTTTTTTCGGTAGAATTATTTGACTCCCACCTATCAAGCGCAACAGATTCATGAAGAACAAAGAAGCCAATTGCTGATCTCTGAACAGAAATAAAAAGAGGTCAGAGCATTGGTAAGTCAGTTGGTTAGAATTTTCCACAGAGTAAGTGCGTTTTATAAACATGAAACGTTTGCAGTGAAACCACTCAGCTTGGTGAACAACCAAACACCCATGACTTTGTTTTGCTTTTAGAAGGAAACGCCTTCGGAAACTGTTGGGTGGACAGCAGCAAATGCGGTTTCCACCGTGAGACAGGAACATGGGATTTAAGACAAAATCTCATAACTGCAATACAATGATCCTAGGACCTATGTTGATGATTCTGAGCAGTACCTGAACTCCATTGGCAGTTTTCTGCTGATCGGATGGTCGCCCGATGAAGTCCGACTACGGTAACTTTCCTCCACCTTAAACCGAGAATGTTCAACGTATACCAGTTTTGCCCGTTGATACACATAAAGTTTTGGCCGATCAGCCTGCGTCTTGAATGTGATTATGCGAACAGCGCCATGTTCTGTTCAATGTGGACCGTGTACAGATAAGTAGGATGAAATTTTGTTGGAGATAACTTAAAATGAGTTAGAGTGGTTTTACTGACAGAATTTGACTGCCTCGAACCTTGATCCAGATTTGTCCGTAAGCTAGACGCTTTGCTAGTTGTACATTTATGGCATGTTCAAAGGTGCATACAAACTATATTTGGGCGTAACCTATTTGTCTGGAGCTTACATGAAGCAGCTTCCAGTCAATGAGTATGTATTCAGGTCAGAAAGAATTAGTGTGATACGAAAGTTTGCACATGAGCTTTTGAATTTATGCGCTAGGGTGATTTGGTTTTTGCATTTGCATGAAGCCCTCCATCACATGGCAGAGTACATTTGATCTTCACTAAGAAAACCATGGGATCCACTAATAATAAGTTCATCATCACTTGCCAGACCCTAAAGGCAGTGTGAATGAGTTGTGATAGGCACGATCTATTTGCCAGCAGTTTGTATTCAAGCACTTAACTAAACACAATGTGGGATCGCTGAGCTTCGTTTCTGTGAGATGAAAACGGCACTACCTTAGTCAACCCTGATATCCTTGCGTATGAGTAAAAAAGCCTTGTTACGGCTAATTTTAATTCGTGACACACATTGCCTCAATGGATGAGTCTAACAATACTGTGTATAGTTGTAAAAAATTATGTTCTCAAATCTTTGGCATCCGTTCTCCGGTTGTTCAAATATTCCGCTCATTCAGAATAACATCAGCGGCAGTAGAACAAATAGCTGCATTGAGCATTATATCCAAAAGAACATCTATGCTTTTAACGTTAGTATATTGAATAACATTTCTAAGCGAGAAAGAGCCGATGAGGTCACTGAAATTTGATTTGTTAGGAATATTACTAGTCAGACACCTAAAGTGAAGTTCATTTTCCCACCAACAGTATAGCTACATAAAGCAGCCAAAATTAATTCCACATGCCTGGGCATGGAACTGCTTTACCTAGGATTACTTTCCAAGCTATGGTTGACATAATGAGACTGGAGGGAACTGATTGCAATATTTGCTTCTGGAACAGCATTTTATCAACCGAAAATACGTACACTTAGGATCCCAGTGTTGTTTTTTTCTCGGAACGTCAATGGTTGCTTGGAGGTAAATAACACTTATTCCAATAGTACGGAGCTAATTTAAAGAACATTTACTTTGTGAAATAAGTTGGACACATTGACACAAATTAAATTGCTCGGCAGCCATGCATCGTTAGTTCTTACAGAAATGTATTATCCTGTCAAAGTAACCTAACCAGTAAAGTACACAATTAGAACACGTTAAATGTTTTACCTACTTAAAATTTTCCTCTGCCTCTGATCGTCCTTTTTCACGCTCACACGTTAATTGATCTCTCAGACGAGCGGCTTCGGATTTCGCCAGCCCAAGTTGGTTATCCAACGCACATAGACTTTGTTCCAAAAATATGCATGCCACAGACTTCTCCTAAGTTGTCAATGAAGCGTTTAAAAAGATCTTTTCATTGTCTTAAAAACTCGTAATGTAAATGGTAAATCACTAATGTTTGCTGAAATAAAATAAGAAAAAATAAAAGAGGTCACATAACTGATGTGCAGTTATGATAAAATTGATAATTGTCAGTACGTTAGTTAGGTAGCCAAAGTCCTGCGCCTTCACACTGGCCCACACTCACAGTTTCGTTAAATCCATCGCTGAAATTCAGAGTATGTCGATGGTATTAGCAAAAAAATAAAACTAGTTGTGAATCGGTAACTGTTTTGTGTGCATGAGCAACACTTCTCAACAAACTGCTATACAGGTATGCGAACGACAAAAGGAAGGTTAAGCCTAGAATACCACACTCAAGGCGTCCAGTGGCTTGACGACTACTGCTGTGGATACCGCGAACACTCTACTCCTGCAGTTTGGCTCAGTGGCTGCAAATAACCTGGAACCTTTGCTCTGTCAACTTCCAACACATGCCATCGCCTTATCCAGTGTCGCGTTTACCCCAGAGGCTGTCGTGAACAAATTATAGACATTCCGGAAAAACGGTGCCTCGGAAATCAACAAGATCACACAAAGGTACTTAGAAATCTTACCCCAACAATAGCAGTAAACCTTGCCGCGTTTTTCCAAAGTCTGTTTGACTCCCCATGCACTATCAGTTGAGTGCAAGCGTGGAATCATCACTCCGATGTACAAAGGAGGGAAGAGATCGGATCCTGCCAAATACCGACCTATTACTCTGCTACCTCTTATCGAAAGTGTTGGAATCGGTAGTCACAAATGAACAGACGCGATAGTTTGAAATTTAGCACATAATTACCTATTGTTCAACATAGTTTCAGACGCAGACGATCTTGTCTTATCAATCTGCTACTTGCCTGGGATTCATGAATCAGGTCAGCTGTTGAAAAATTCCCCATAGGTGTGATTTACTTAGATTTTTCTAAGGCATTCGTTCTCAACGCTTCTCTGCTCACCTGATTGGAAGATTACTTACAAGACAGTACCATCAAGGTAAGGATAGTTAACACTCACTGCGAAAGCCTGTGGGTATCCAGTGGTGTACCGCAAACATCCGTCCGCGGCCCGCCATTGTTTTTAGTTTCCATAAATGACCTCCCAGAGAACATTTTATCCATGATGCCGATTTTTGCAGCTAATGCTAAAATAGGGAGAGCAATTCGCTCAGCATCCGACTGTGCCTATCTCCAGAACGATCTGGACCAGATTGACAAATGGGCAGTCACAAATGAAAAAGCCATCTACTACCACTAGAGCGTTCATTTACCAGTCTCATTGATGAATCTCAACTAGCACTACATCAAGGTAGATGCCAGTGACAGGGCATTGCTCTTTTTAATTACAAAGCCTTAGGATGAACCTACTATAATTTTATCAACGGATAGGTTAAGTAAGCTACAGCCAAATCTGTGATACGACGTTTTGGGATCACAGTGCACAAAACTTGTAGGGCAGAAAATGTGCTCTTGCGCTCTATGTGATCCGCAGATATTTGCCAGCCGGCCAACTCAATCAAGTGTTTGATTGTGAGCGTCGGGAAGGTTGGTGATGTTCGTACGTACACTTTAACCGGCCAAGCGCTACATCCTACGCCTTCCGTGATTAATCTAGGCGTACTGTAAGGTTGCGAAAGGAAGTGCGTGGACAGCATGAATAAGCTAAATAAAAACAGACTACGCATAGTTTGGACACTTGAACGCAGGTTTTGCATGTAGTCTGAAGAGGTTGCCACTAGCCTCTTCTCTTCCAGCATAAGACCAGTACAGCCTATTGTCCAATCATTCGTACTGAGGTATAAATGGGGAACGTGTTCCGCATGCGGCTGCGGGACTCAACCTTAGTTTACGGAGTATGTTGTGCTAAGACGGAGGAAGGATATTGGGGCTCTATACCCAGTCCGATTGTCGGTTTCGAATCGACCTCGTAATGAAACGCCGGATATCATATCTGGGAGCATTCCCTTTGCTGATGCCGCTTCTACATATGCGTGCACCAAGCAGCACCCGCGCAAACTGGTCAAAGCTTGTGGTTCCGGATCTGAAGTAGGTTGCTTCGAGCGCGTGTGATGGAATACTTGAACGATTTACCAGAAACAATAGTCGAGGCGAAATCGGTCTGGGCCTTCAAGAAATTCTTAGGTGTCCAATTTGCGGAATTCATATTCAGGGAGGGCATAGCACCTAATTACTAGGACGTCGCATAACCAACTGCGTTGACAATGCGCGGTTAAAAGTGACGTTATTCCGCGTGTATGCCCGATATTCTATCGAGGGAGCAACATATATACAAACCATTTATCTGTTTATTTGCTGTATTCAGTATCCAACGAAAGCGTACAATGCAGATGCTCATTAGCGTTTTCATATACGTTACCTAGTAATATGAAATCGTCTACCGCACTCATTAAAAACAAATCAATCTGACCCTCAGTCCAGAACTGAACTGAATGCATCATTCCTACTGTCGAATGCAGTACGCAAACGATAAAGATGGAGCGGCTCCGTTTAATAAAAAGCGCGACATGCTCAAAACGTGCTAGTTTACCTGATTGACCCATTTACCACCTTCTTAGATCTCGCGTTGAAAATGCAACCACTACCTATGCACAACACCGGTTTTCATGGTGGTATAATCGCTCGTAAATCTGTACATTTGCCTCTTGCTTCCAACCCCCCAATCATCTTCCTGCCACATGGAATTGATCAATCCAAAGATTAGTTGTGTCAAACACTGATGCATTGGGAGTTAGACCCAATTGGATTTCAGCGCCCCAGTTTCGTGTGCTTTTGAACATTCGTTTCCTCTTACTCCTTAATTCCACTAGCCCACTAACCCAGGCACTAATTCATCGGCAGTTTCTTAACCTGGCCACGCATGTTTCCCCTTTTTTATACTTCTGCTTAATTGCACTAACTTACCTCTACGCGTGCATTAGCTTATTTTAAACGCAGCTGTCGTAATGCCCAAGTGTCCTTGGTCCGCTTAGATTTATTATGTCAACCTACTTTGTTACATTTCATGTAATGATACCTCGCTATGTTGCAAGTAAGCAGCCATGACACATGACTCAAAGCTCATTTGAAGCAATAGATGTATATTATAACCATCAATAATTGACGAGGTATGTAACCACGATTAGGAATGCAACTCATTCTCTTTCTCTCCGCTTACCAGCATGCCAATGTTATTATAATCTGTGTATTTTCGGCAGCAATTTTTTCCACTTTAATCCAACGTAACCTCAAAGGCACAACGAAACTGTTAATCTCTGCCCTAAAACATTTTGATAAATAGAACTGATTTTTTCTTAAATTTTTGATACCTTGCAACTAAGTTCTTGGACATTCAGTACGCCCTTCATCAATCTGTGTTGGTTTTGGAACACTGTGAATGGGGTCCGAAAAGCATCGTCCAATTGCATATGCGTCAGTGGGGTTGAAGATTTTCGAGAAACCATTTGTCCCTCCCATTTTCACAGACGCCGCAGGCAAAAGATGGATACCAGTTTGAATACTAAACCCAACCACTCCACACTGCACGCTGTGCCGTACCTAGTGAATTCGGCATCATCTGTGTTGGATGAAAAATGAACGGCAGTACGTCGCCTGTTTCTTGCTTATTAAAACGCTTTCAAAAGCCTCAACGTATCAATACTGCTCAATCAGCTGCTCACGAGTTGCATTCATATAGATGTCTACAGCGTGATTGCGGACTACTTTACAAAACGTACACACTTCGCCCAGTCTAACGGAACAAAACGCTCTACACTTTGCTCTGGTTGCAGGATTCCCCCTCAGTGTTTTCATTGTATAACGAAAACTTTCCATACTGTCCAAATGCATTGGATACATGTGTGCCGATGATCTCGTTATGGGATGTATATCTCCAAAAACGAAGATATTAACTCTGCAGAGTGTTCTGCATGATTTTGTGCTATGGTCATCGTTTCGATCCCTCATTTTGCACATTGTTTTGCCATAACCTCTCTCATTCGGGCTGAGAAGATACCAGTCATTTCGAATGCCACTCCTCGCTGGCAGTGTGCGATCAACTCATACAGAGATCATCAACTGTCAAATAACTTGCAGTCTTTTTGCCCTAGAACCCATCTACCAAAGTCTCCAAGACGTCTTAAAAGGTTTTAAGTCTGTCCTATTGTACCTCAAACTTATAATGCATTCGGTAACTTGTCATTTGATTTTTAACTTTGTGTTAACCTACATTTTGCTTCACCAGCATAACTGTTCCCCAGTAATCCTTCTTATGCTACTCAGAAAAAATCACATATTTTTTGCACGGTAGTTGCAACTTATTCCCAGATGCAGTACACTGTTTATAGAAGCTCCTGTTGAATCATTATCAAAAACATATGGACGGTTGTACCTGTTTTTCATTTAAATCTCTAAGCGACCCTTTCTACCCAATACATGGAGCTCTATTGATAGCGATATAGGTGTTCTACGCGCTCTAAATCTAAAGTCCCATTTTCTCCCACTGCTCTTTCCCAAAATTTTACCCTACCTACTTGTAAAGACTACTTGTTGACTCAATAAAACGCAACTGTGTATGGGTGTGCAGTTGTTTACTTGAGTGCCACGCTGACACCCCTTTTGGATAAAGCACTTTATTTGCTTTTATCCATCAATTGCATCTATTTCCCCATTCGCAGCGCTAGTGTAATGTTGCAAATGTTCCTGTCCAGGTACAGAACGCTTGTTTTGACTTGACTTCAGACTTGATTAGATCAGCCATCTCCTGAAAAGATTTTGAGGATGTAACATGATCAGTCGAAAAACCCTTCCTTATTGATAGTCTGGCATCAATTATTTTGGGCCATCTTTTGCACAACTTCTGCGTGCTGTTGACTGTGAAGCTGGACGTGCACTTTAAAGGTACAACGCAAACTAATAGTAAGTTTTTACTCACCACATTAATGCGGAGAGGTAAAATATCTT